GCCAGTCAAAGACAAACGTGAACTATGGTCCCTACTGGATAACACTGTTTTTTCTCCCCTCTTCTCTTTTGCCTTTGATTCCCTTGACCCATTTATTTGTTTTTATTTTTCCTACATGCGGGCAGTGCAGGATGCAAAAAGGCAGGCGTTCATGGTCATTCATTCTTTCACATTTGAGGCTGGGAATCGGACATGAGAGTTAGTCGGGCATGCATGGCTTTTACTGTTTCTACTTAGTCGTTTAAGTCTTATCGAGATATTAAGTGAAATATCCATTTTATCCGCCTTTGTACTCGGAACTTTTGACACTATCGTACCGTAACAATATGAGTTAGAAATCACTCCACACTGTTGCAGCTCTTCCCTGTTCTTGTATCCCTGCACCTGCAGCAGATCGTACCTAGTATTTAGTTACTCACCTAGCTTATCTGTCTCCTGGACTTTCTCCACAGACGGACACCACCTTATTGACCAACTTTCCTTGAGGACTTGAAACATTCCTACTTGAATTTTCTTGACGTTGGGTAGTTCGTGGGCTTGATTTTCTCTGCTCCTGGATATGGACCCCCCTCCCTCCCTACCTACCTACCTACCTACATACCCAGAGATGACATGTCCCTAACTGTACCATACTCTCATCTAGATACATGCATAGATACCACTGTTCACTCCTTTTTATCGTTAGGGTACTTATTCCATTATCTCGTTTGTTCATGCTCAGTACCTAATCAAAGAAAATTGTAGGTTGTGATAGTCTCTAGTAAAAAGCACCTAGAAGAGACGGAAACAGATAACGACCTACTTAGACACTGTCTAAGCAGGTGCAGTAAGTAGCTAAATAAACTGGAAGTAAATAGATATGTGTGAATGTCTTTATATATGTATCTTTGCATGTTTTATTCAGTAATAAAATACCCTTGGTCAATAGAGAAGAAAAAAGAAAGAGCCGAAAGCGAAGCAAGATACACCACACCACACCACACACCAATCAATCAATCAATCATGTCCATAGATAAGGTAGGTAGGTATCAGTATCATATCCATACGGACGGAGTATATCCAGAACAAATGAAGTCAAATCAAATCAAACAAGAATAAATTCATGCGACGCCCCCAAACCCCGTAAACCCCGTTTGATAAAAGCCGACGATATTAACCTTGAATAACTTTCAGGTCCAATTCAAGAGCTGAAGTTAATTCATTTGTGTTTTGCTTTGCATAACTTCGAAACAAATCATGTCATGATAGAAAAGAAAAAGAAAATAGTATATCCATCTGTTTTAGAAGACGAAGATCGGCAGACCGTTTCTACCGCACTCTAGAGCTGGAACGGAAGTCGAATGGATTCGGGGCGGCAATACCGGCTTTGCGGTGCGATTGGGGCTTAGGGCGGGAGAGTGTGTATCTGTTTTCCCAATGGTTGATTAGTATACGCTTCATAGGAAGTGTAGGGAGGTAGGAGTGAATGGGAATGGAACGTACTTGGCAAATGCCCTGGATAGAGCCTTCTTGCAGCTGACCTTCTGGCTGCCAATGAAGGATTCCACCGTGACGGCGATGGCGCGGTCGATGTCCTGCGCGGAACAGTACTCTGAAAGACGCATCTTGCAGAAAGATTCGGCGATACGCATGATGGCTTCTAGGTGACGGACCTAGTTGATTTATTAGTTTACTGCATGAGCAAGGGACGGGTGTAGAACATACGGTAATAGGGTAGGCACCCGTGGCCAAAGACTCGCGTCTCATGTCTGCGAAGAGGCGGGCAACCTTGTCCTGGTCGATTTGGTAAAGCTTGGGGTGGCAGTGCTCGCGAGCATAGAGGATGTATTTCCGAAGAAGTTCCTGCGGTATCTCGCCCTCCTTCTCCTCTGCCTCCTTCTTCTTGGCGTTTTCGCGCTCCTGGAGTTCCTCTTTGGTCGGAGGAAGACGTTCACCTTCGTCGTTGATGCGGTAGCCTTCTTCGTCGACCATCTGTCCCTTGGCGTTAAAGAGGTTGCCCTTCTCATCTCGGGTAGGGCGAGCAGGGTTTGCGCGGTGGTGGGATTCCACAACGAAGTTGGCCAAACGTTCATCCTCGGTCGGCTCGACCAAGTCGCGGACAACGCAGAGGATATCAAAACGGGACAAAATAGGCTCGGTAAGCTCGACGTTAGCGGAGAAGGGTGCGGTACTGTTGTAACGGCCACCGATGGGGTTGGCGGCGGCGACGACGGCGCAGCGGGCTTGCAGGGTGGTAACGATACCAGCCTTAGAGATGGAGATCGTCTGTTGTTCCATAGCTTCGTGGATAGAGGTACGGTCCTGGTCGTTCATCTTGTCGAATTCATCAATGAGGCAGGTACCGCGGTCCGCCAGCACGAGAGCACCACCTTCAAGAGTCCATTCGCTGGTCAAAGGATCACGACGCACGCTGGCTGTGAGACCGACGGCACTGGCACCTTGACCAGTGGCGAAGACAGCCCGGTGGGCGGTCTTCTCCACGTACTTGAGGACCTGTGACTTGGCCGTACCAGGATCACCGAGCAAAAGAACGTTGATATCACCACGGATGTTCATCTTGCCTTGCGCCTGCTTGCTAACACCACCAAAGAGAGACAGGGCGACTGCAGTCTTCACGTCCAAGTGGCCATAGATACTAGGGGCGATGGATCGCACGATCTTGTCGACGATCTCGGGGTCCCTCGACAAGGCTCGGATCTCGCGCTCATCCTCTTCGGTCAAGTGGAAACCAGCCAGCTGGTCGTGAGACTTGACAACATGGTTCGCCTCGATGATGGTTGCAAATACAGGGAATCCGTTCTTGTTGTTAAGCTGGGCGTCGTAGCTGTTGCGGTAGATACCAGTCACCTCAACTTCATCTCCAGGCTTGGCCGAGTCAATCAGATCAGCCAAAAGCACGACTTCTCGTTGGCGAGGCAGACGACCGGCAGGAACAGAGCCAGGGGACTCCTGCAAGGTCAACTTCTGGTAGTTACGGTAGACGGTCTTCTCGGAGTTGACGGTGAACGGTCCCCTAGATTGACAGTTCTGGCAGTAGGAGATCTTCACTTCCTGGCTGGCTTCCTGCTGGAACGGGCCCAGAGTCATGTTACACTTGTTACAGGTGAACATGACATATTTCAGCTGAGGAAACACACCGGTGCGGCGTGTGACGACTCCGGTAACCCGAATGAGGCAGTTAAGATGCTGCTGGCGCAACTGCCGTAGCGTGTAAGTGACCGGAAGATCGGTGATACGGACGTGGATCTCGTTATGGATGTCATGGTACTGCGGGTAGTGGAACAAAGTAACGTCAAGAGCGACTTGATCGAAAACCTTGAGCACCTCAGTAGGTTCGTTCGCCAGGAAATATGAAAGTGCCGCCTTGGAAGTGCTCAGGTGGGTGTATGACACCTCAAGAGATGCAGAGTTCACCTCACCAAGAGTTTTGATCTTGTTTCCGTACACGGAACCACCAGTGGCATCGGTGTATTCGGTCAGGAAAGCCTTGAACTGTGTGTAGATGGAGCGAAGCACTTGAGGCTGAAGAACCCAATCGGTGACATTAGTGGCCTTGACGTCCATCATTTCGTCCAGGGAGAGTTCCTCCATGGCAGTGTCGCCCATCTCAATGTCGTCTCGGTCCTCATCGTACTGGTGCCTCCGTCGACGAGGTTGACGAGCGAGGTCAATATCGCCATCATCGTCTTGCAGGAACGCTGCAGGCATACGTCGGCGGCGCTCGAATTCGCGATCTCTGCGGTTCATGCAAGATTCCAGCTCGCGACGGGTACCCAGATCAAGCTCTTCATGATCGACATCATCATCATCGATGTACTGTCCTCGGTAGCGGTCGTCGGCAGTACTCCGGTAATCTCTTTCAAAGTTGTCATCGAACAGATCAATCCCTCCCTCGTCTTCCGCCATCTCTTCAATGTCGTCAATGTCTCCCAACATCTCGGCTTCTTCGTCTCGTTGGTCGTCATCATCATCAAAGGGGAGCATAGGAGGGGAGGAAGGGGGAGCTACACGAGTCAGTTAGAAGCCGGCAGTCTTCCATCGAAGGTCAATCAACTTACGGCTGGAGGGTGGAGCGACTGAAGAAGCATCATCATCGGGTTCTCTGGACCTCTTTCGTCGATTCAGGTTTCCGAGCCCGCGGTTTGCGGCGGAATTGCTGGGGCGGAGTGGTGAACTGCGCAAAAAGAATTAGTATGAAGGCGAAAGAAAGACGAGAAGGGAAAGGCCTTGAAAAGGCATTCCAGGTCATCGGGATATTGGCACATACCTCATTGTGTGTAGGGTTCAATGTGATTATTTGGGGGGGAGAATAGACAGGCCAAACCGATCCCACGGATGTTGCTGTGTGGGCGTCTTTTTCGTTTCCCGGGCAGAGAGGGAGACTTCGATCCTTGGCGCCGGGCTGAGGCGCGTAAGATACGCGTCGCGCGGTTCGACGCGTGGGGGTTCAATTAAACCCCGATTGGGAAAGGTGGTTTGGCGCCAGCTTCGATATGGCCTTGCTCAATGCTCAGGTTGCTAGGGATTTATTCATGACTTGGTTCACTAAGTTCCAGGGGCTTCAGCTCTATTTCCCTAATATACAATTATTCATTCCTGTAAGTACGCAGCACAATGCGCAATAATCTTCAGCATGACGACCCGTCATTCCGCAGTCACCACAATATCTGTTGAGAATTATCTTGGATTCGGAGCACTCTAAACTGACACCGCTACAAGCCATTGTATTTCATGATCACTATCAATTAAGCCTCTCCTAGGTCACCTCTCCCAATAGTTTCCACCTTGGACCGGACGACATAAACTTTTGTCCGTGGCCATTGGATGCAAACAGAGCAAACACTTAAGCTGTCGCGGCGCGTTACTCGGTACCTCCAGGCGAACTGAACGCAACATTAGCCTGACGTCGCCAGTGAATTCATCCATTGACCAGGCTTCTATTTCATCTTCTTTCTATGAACGGCTGGTGAACGCATCGCTTTCTTAACGAAATCCTTAAAATGACGACCAACCCTGATTCCGTCGACCCTCCCACCAATGCCGCGCAGGCGTTGAACGGGCAAGAAGCCAGCCAAAGGCGCGAAAGTTTCGGTTCGCAAAATTCGCAGACCGCAAGAGAGTAAGCATTGAATTTCTTTCCGATAGAAAGGCGCATCTACAGCGACCTTCTCAGATGCCATTACAGCCATCTAACCTGTTGGGTTATTAGATTTCTGGAGAGTCAAATGCGACTAGAAGCCGACGCCCGCGAGGTCCTCCCTTATGTGAGCAACCACTCGCCAATCACCCACAAGCCCCAAAGCTAACACAGCCGACTCTTCAAGTCCTTCGACACCTGCACACAAGCGCTAGGACCCCTACGACAGAGTCTCTTCGCCTGCCTCACCTGCAACCCTCCCCCGTCAGACCCCTCCGCTCCCCATACCGCCGCAGGCGTCTGCTATTCCTGCTCCATATCCTGCCACGGCGAACACACGCTCGTCGAACTATTCAACAAACGGAACTTCGTCTGCGATTGCGGAACCACGCGCGTCCCTTCAACTTCACCCTGCACGTTGCGCGAAGACCCCCAAACCGGCAAGAAAGGCGTGCACTCGGAAAAGGCGCACCCGGACAACAAATACAACCATAACTTCCAGAACAAGTTCTGCGGGTGCGGCGAAGACTACAATGCGGATCAGGAACGCGGCACGATGTTCCAGTGCCTTGGTCTCGGCAGCGCCGAGACGGGCGGATGTGGCGAGGACTGGTGGCATCCAGAGTGTATGATCGGGTTACCGCGGACATGGTATGAGGAGTTGAAGAAGAAAACCGGTGGGAATGAAGAGGCGGGTGGGGAGGACGAGGAGGACGAGATTCCGTTGCCTCCGGGATTTCCTTTGGAGGACGACTTTGAGACGTTTATCTGTTTCAAGTGCATTGAGTCGAATCCGTGGTTGAAGAAGTATGCCGGGACAACTGGGTTCTTGCCTCCTGTCTACAAGGATGGTGGTCTGCCCAAGGCGGGAACAGATGCTGAGCCAGCTCCAGAGACGTCGACCACGTCTGAAAACCAAGAGGAACAGTCTGCTAACTCAAAGAAGCGGAAAGCGGAGGACGAGGAGGTTGAAAACGAGCCTACATCAAAGCGCACTAAAGAGGACAGCGAGGAAACACCCGCAGAACCGAAGGCCGAATCAAAGGAGGAGCAAAAACCAGAGCCAGAGCCAGAGGCCAAACCTGCACAATCCGAACCTGCGAAGGACAAGCACAAGCATGAGCTCCTCCCCTCCTCTACTCCATCCGCCACCTTCTCCCTTTTCCTCAAAGAAGACTTCCGCGACCACTTCTGCCACTGCCCTGAATGCTACCCTAACCTCGCCCACCACCCTCAACTCCGAGAGGAGGAAGAGACCTACGAGCCACCTCTCTCCGAGATAGGTGACGATGCCAATGGTGGAGGTAGCACCGGCACCGGCAGCATTTATGATCGCGGCGAAGCTGCCCTCAACAATATCGATCGGGTTCGAGCCATCGAGGGCGCCATGGTCTACAACCATCTGCGAGACAAGGTGAAGGAGTTCTTGAAGCCGTTCGCGGAATCAGGAACTGCAGTTGGCGCAGACGATATCAAATCCTATTTTGAAAAGCTCCGTGGGGATGAGCAGCCGATGCGAGATGCGGCTGGACAAGCTTCTAAGTCCAATGGTGATGACAATAATGATAACGAAGATGATGGCAATAGACGGGAGCAAAGCGGTACGTATATGAGTCTCTAACATTTTTCAACTATCTTCGAATCTAACTTTGGCCCAGGCTATTGATTTTTTACACTTGATATGGGGTTGGGAATTAAGGGAACACGATGCGGGCGGAACCTGCTTTGACCTAGGCGCGTATGGTGGGAATTAGGACACGGACTTCCGATATGCACTAATCTAAATTGATATTATTTATTCATATCATACTTCTTTATTAATCAAAAGTTGAATATATCAATTCAATAGTCTCGCAATATCTGTATTCTTTCGAATGATTATTCATAATAATAAGAGTTACCATCACCGATTCGAGGAGGAATGAAAACGCCATCACCCGATGCAAAAGCAATGCTGAGCTCTATCAACTCCTGTACAAATATGTTTGCCGAGAAAAGTAACACAATATCAATATGCAACACAAACAACCCTCCACTATTCTTTGAGCCGTTTCGCAGCTCTCCCCATCAGGCTATCATCCGGCAGCCCACTCCGTTTCGTACCGGGCAAGCTACCCGATCGGATATCATTGTCGTCCTGCGTAACACGACGATGGGGATATTTACCCTCGAATCCCTCGAAGCAATTGGCCGGGATAGGCCCCCTGTTCTGGAAATACGGATGTTCAAGGGCCTCGCGAGCCGTGATTCTCTTAGTAGGATCATACTCCAGCAGTCGCGACAGAAGGTCGTATCCATCCGCGCCCGGCGTCCCAGTATTCGAGGCGGAAGAGTATCCGCCATTTTTCAAACAGTTCTGATACCAGCCCTCCAAGTTCGACGAGCGAGGCAGATGACCCGGCGCGCGGGACATTGCGAGGGACTGCAGCTGGGAGTATTCAGGCATCGATACGATACCCGGCCAGGCGTCCTTTGTAGGCAAGCCCATGATTTCGATGATCTTCATCATCTGATTCCGCTGGAACGGGACCGTCTTTTTGCTGTCCATTTTCGCTTCCTCGCCCTTGAATATAGGTCGGAGAGAGAGTAGCTCGGCAAATATGCATCCCACAGCCCATAGATCGACGGCCGGGGTGTAATGTCGGCTGCCCATTAACAGTTCGGGGGCACGGTACCATATTGTAACAACAACTTTGTCGCCGGAGAAAAGAGAGTTGAGAGGTTTGTAGAACAGACGCGCAAGTCCGAGATCTCCGACGCGAATAGCACCCTTAGACGTGACCAGAATATTCGCCGGTTTCAGGTCTCGATGCAGGACCCAATTTGTATGAAGGTAAAGTAAGCCATTGAGCAATTGGAATAGGATGGATCTGACCATCGGCGCTGGAATAGCATGCCTTTGAGGCTGGGTGTGGTGATGGATAATCTGAAGCAGATCATGTTCTGTGTATTCAAAGACCATAAAGATGCACTTGTCTTCCAAGATGATCTCCTCTAGCTGCACGACATTGGGATGGTCCAGTTCAGAGCACAGGGACATCTCCCGGATTGCTGACTGGGAGAGGCCCGTGTACTGGATAATTTCGCCCTCTTTATCCGGTTTGAACCTATGAGTGGTCAGCCATCGGAAGCCAATGTGATAGTGTGAGAATCCATGTCGACCAACTTTTTAATTGCGAATTCGCCTTTCTGTCCATTTTTCCCAACGGCCTTGTAAACACGGCCATAGGTACCGCTACTGATAAATCCCACAATATGGTATTTATCGCGCACACGGACTTTACTGGTATAGCCAGTCCCAGTCGATTTTCTCGGATCTATATTGTCTTCAAGTCCGGATAAATGTTAGCCACCGGATCCATTCTCGTTCTTCCGATCATGCAATTGAGTGTAAGAACGGATCCGTGATAGGGGAAGGGGGGAATGAAGAGGCGCGAGAGAGAGATAAAAGCCGAAGGAAGACAGAAAGAATATGACAACCATTCAGGCCAATGACCCACGGCCAATTCAGAGGGAAAAGCTATTACCACGTAGATAAAACCCGCCGATGGAATTAAAGAACGGGAAATTCCTTCCAAACATGATGAAAGAAAAAGCAGACAGAAAGGGCCGTCGTAGTACCCGGCGGTCACCGCGGAAGTGTCCTCCGAAATTATTTGAGATAGATTGCAGATAAAACCCCCTTATCCACCAGAACACATAGTGACGGGTCTAGACAGGGCAGAAATGTTTAACAAAATAAAAATAGAAATGTAAGATATCAATTAAGTGGCAAAAAGAGACTGTGATAGTCACTGGGTAGGTGATGGGGTGGGGGAATAATCTGATATTAATCGGTATTACCATCGACAGCGGTCAGTAGGCTCTTTTTCAAAGACAGACTCTGGCTGACGGTGGCCGCTGCGGGCCTGGACGATGCAGTGAACGGACCGGACGATGGCGGGTTTGTCAGACTCATGGAGAGCGCGGCGAAGGAGGCGAAGAGTGGAGGTGGGCTACTAGTTCATCTAATATTTATCAATCGGAAAAAGAGGCAGCAATCGGGCCCATGGAACCAGCGGTGGTGTGGACAGTGCACGGAAAGGCTGGTCTCCACTGGAGCAGCGAGCCTGCAGCGTCAGGAGTAATAATCAAATAGCAAGGCAAGGTGAAAATGCGGAGGGGATGGTTTGAAAAGACAAATGATCATGGTGAGATGCGACAATCAGGAACTTTAGAAGCTGATTGCTGCAACCCCCCAGTATTGGCGCTTTAGTCAGCAGGTGGCATGACTTGCCGCCGGGCTCTGTATGGTTGGGTTGGATGATCGACAATAAGGATCAAGTCCGGAGTAGCGACTGGGTTTCTGGTAACTTAGAGGTGAGGAGGTTATTCAAGTCTACGAAGGGATGGTTTGGAGAGCAAAGCTCCGAGTTGAAGGGGTGGTAGTTGTGCTAAATCGACATCCGTACTCCGCAGAGTATATATGGTCTACGTGAGAAAAGATAAAAAATAGGATGATCTGAACATAGTACGGTCGATAGTTTTAGGACAACTGCAAATTGATTGGCAACCTTCAGCTTTAAGGTGTCAATGTAGTAAGTTGTCTGCAATTCGACTGATGCTCACAGGGGAGTTGAGAGGGCTGAGGGACACGTCTCGTTTACTCCTGACACACATATCACGTGAATCAACCACTAAACAGCTCCTTCTGGAGGCGGTGCGATTTGGTACGGCAGTACTCCGTGCATGTGCCACTCACCGCCTTAAAGGATCTACCAAATACTCCGAAGCTCTACATAATACAAATGACTTGGAACAAAAAAAATAAGAAAAAAGGGAGAAGTCCAGAGGTTATTCCATACGGATACGGACCATACGTGTCCGATATATCCTTTGAACAGCGCTGAAATCCGGATCCCACAACCAGGTCGAGTAGATGTATCTCTATTAACTCCCGCTCACATAAATATATTGCACGAACATTGGCGTGAGGGACAGAATCAAGGTGATGGATAGAACCTAAGATGACAACACTGGAAGCCAATCCCAGAGTCTCCATAATGAAGAACATCTATTGCATACTACAGAAAGAGAATCAATCTGTTCCCATGATCCATAACCCTCTACTATGTGCACCCCGCACAAGGTCTCGGGATAATGGATCGATAACTTGGCAGCGCGTGAATCCCGGCTCCAAGCGGACCGAGGACTGAGCGTTGGCCGTTCTAATTAATTATTATCGATTATCCCCTCCGATAAGCAGAGATTAGCAAAGCCAGGGTACCAAGCCACTAATCTTAGCTAGATGATCCATCTGTCACTAGCTTACAGGCATCTGACACGGGACATCCAGCGCATCAGATCGAGCGGGCTTTGCGGCGAACCATTCAATTAAAAAGAAGGCAAACGTCGAGTCCTCAAGGATTGTCCGAACAGAACACATCTTGCGTCAGAATGCTCGGTCAACGTCAAGTCAGACCAATGAAGGCAATGGAACGATAGTCAACGAGCGCAAGGCCGAGGTTGAATGAACCCATCTTACTACTCCGTACTCCGTAGAACTACTAGGTATGGGCATAAATGGCGGATATATCTGGCGGGGGCGGGGTACACAATCCTGATCTCGGTCGAAGTTCCCCTCCTCTACTCTAGAGACGTTGCCACCTTCGCCGACGAAACGAATGCGAAAGATGAGGAGGGGCGAGAAAGTCTCGGACCAAGATATCCCAACCATTTTCCAACATCCAAAGCCTAAGGGCGGGGCATGACCGACCATAATTCAAGGAGTTAAAATCCAACATGCAGGATAACCCCGAGTCTATGCATGACTAGTAGGAAACGTTGGGATAATCTCTAGGAATCTTGTACTGCGTAAAAGATATCTCCTCGGTACTCCATGATACTACTAGTCAGTACTACCTAGGGGTAAGCAGTCAATCGATTCCTCCGGCGGACGAGAGAAGACCGGAGGAGGCTGAGACATCGTCCATCAATAAGAGTGCATGTTTTCCGACTTAGATCGGTGCCACCACGACGGAGCACCCTGGGATTTAATGGTTTAAATTAGCGGGAGTGACTGGTTTGGGAGTAATGCAGCAATCCTGCAGGCCAGATGCCCACTTGAATGATATGCACGGTGCAGTTCGCAATGCAGCTCCAGGGATGATGGAATTAGAAGCAGATGGCCCCCCTTCCACCGTGCGACAGTGGCAGGTTTCAGAAACACCGAAAAAAAAAAAAAAAAAAAAAAGGAAACATACATCTAGGAAATGAGGGAAGAGAAGTCAGAAACACCGGTTATTGAAGAGGAATGCGGGATTTATTCCAGAGAGGCTCTGATTCAGTCAGGGGGAGGCGGTGAAGTACTCCGTAAGTCCCTTGAACTGAGTGCTGGAGTTCCTCCATACTTTCCTCCATACCATCCCCTACCGAGGACAGACAGATGATATCCATAATGGTCAATGGAATTTCTCCCCCTCTTCTTCCATCGTCAAAGGTCATTGCTGAGCCACATCGGGAAACTGTGGTACACAAGCGCCAGACGAGAACAGAAATCGGCAAATAGTGCCTAGGCAGCCACTTTTCCCTCTCCAGAAGCCAAGTCGGCCGGTGGATCAAAGGCAAGACCACTTTTCTGTCAATTTCTAGCCTGACGTCGTGCTGATGGGGAAACTGCCAAGACCCGTAGCCGAAGGGTTCCGTGGGTTTTATTGCCGTTAGGAGGTTTATGTATTCATTCAATCTATCGTGGATCAAGAACGAGGGTCATCGGTCTCAGTGTATCATCACATCATGCACTTACGCCGTACTACTATGTAGGTAGGTTCTGTACTTACTGTAGTCTAGTTCTGTCTGTCTACATACCAGGATATAAATATAGTGATAGCGGAGCCTTCGGTTGAATTTAATTTAAAATCCCCCAAAATTAGTAGTCAGTAGTGCTTGCTGCCATTATTGCTGACCTTTCTTAAGAACCTCGTAAACCAGTAATCGGTCCAATCTCCCCCCTTCGCCCCATCAGTCCGTCGCCCGGGATTGTGAGCTTGTTGTTTCCTTTCTTCTTTCGCGCGCCCGGTCGTTCGTGTCGCCTCTCCTTTTCCCCCTCTGGCCTGTGTCCCTTCCATTCCGAACTTATCTTTTCTTACCCTGCACCTTGTGGCTATTTCTCCATTCTCTCCGCTCTCAGTCCCGATCGCATCGGCTGCCACTGGGTTTCCAGGATTTCGAGCAGCGTGTCCGGTACGTTGTGGTGGCTCCGAGTGTCGTAAATCGATCGACCCGGACGGATTGTAGATCAACCCGGCACTGGTAAACCGACAACCATCACCGCAACACCTCTCTGTCGTTGGAGAGCTGCATCCCAACGCTCCCCCCCGTCCATCAAACCATCCAAACCGCCCAATTAACCCGCCGAACTTTCGCTTGTCGATCCTTCTGTCCTTTCTACAATTTCGAGTATCGAATCAGCGGAGTTGACGCGACGTGTCCCGTCTTCCGTCTCACTGTTGAACCCCCGCACCTCCCGAACGGCCATTATGGTGCGGCTACCGATTCCTCAACGCCTGACCTCTCACCTGAGTACCCGGAGCAATGCCTCGACCCCTGGTCAGAGCCGGAGCACAAGTCCGATGAGGTTCCCGGATTCTAAACCTCCCCTTATCCTCAAGGTTACCGTGTTACGGGTGAGTGATGTGCCTCAACGGCAGAGATTACGTCAAGCTTTGCCGGCTGTTCCCTGTAACTGACCTTCGCCTCGTTGCAACAGGGGCGCAACCTCGCGGCCAAAGATAGAAACGGTACTAGCGATCCGGTGAGTTACATTTACACCCCTTCAACTCGTCCTCGAACAACCATGACTGACTGCCGGCGTTTTCCGCTTAGTACCTAATCGTTACCCTCGGAGATGCGCGACAGCAGACCCCCACGATATCAAAGACCTTGAACCCAGAATGGAACGTTTCCTTTGAAATGCCCGTTGTCGGAGTGCCGCTGTTAGAATGTATTTGTTGGGATCATGACAGATTTGGAAAGGACTACATGGGCGAGTTCGACATTCCCTTAGAAGAGATCTTTTCTCCCGGGGAGGTACAACAGCAGGTAGGTCCTGACTGTATAATTGGAAGATCGCGGGACTTGAATAGACTGACATTTCTCTGAAGCCGAGATGGTATACCCTGAAGTCCAAACGGGTTAAGAAGAAGGACAGCACCGTATCTGGAGAGATCTTTCTCCAATTCTCGCTTGTCGACCCCTCGAACCCCTCCGCATCCCCCGATGAGATCTACCAGAAATTCAAAAGTGTGGTGTGTACCAGCGAGGACGACGAAGACTATCCGCAGAATCCTTCCATCGTGTTGGGTGATGCCGACAGAGATGAAGAAACGTCGGATGAGACCGACGACCCGGCGAAACCGGAGGTCGTGGAGAAACGGCGCAGAAGGTTGCGGCTGGCACGACTCAAGCGCAGGTCATTGGCAGCTCGAGCGTACCAGTTTTCTGGCGCCGGAAACGGTGTCCAGGGAATTGTGTTCATGGAGATTGTCAGAGTAACGGACCTCCCGCCAGAACGAAACGGTATGATTTCATAGCTCCCGCTCCCTCATCTGCTCAACCCTCAAGAGTCAAGCCTGTGGCTTATCATAGAAACTAGTGACCCGTACTTCCTTTGACATGGACCCGTTCGTTGTGACCTCGTTGGGAAGAAAGACTCTCCGGACACCCGTTATACGTCACAACCTAAACCCAGTATACAACGAGAAGATGGTGTTCCAAGTCATGAAGCACGAACAATCTTACACGATCGGCTTTACTGTGATGGACAGGGACAAGTTCTCCGGCAACGACTTTGTCGCTTCCGCTGGCTTTCCACTTCAAACGTTGATCCAGTCGGCCCCTGAGGCCGATCCGGAAACGGGTCTCTACAAATTTTTGGACCCTACTCTTGATCCAACAGGGTCTGACACCTCTGAACCCGAAAACACGGCTGGAATCAAGATTGATATTAGTCCGTCCCCGTCAACCAATAGCTTGTCGAGGCTGTCAAATAAACCGAGGTCTCGGAGTAGCACTGCGTCTATGTCGGGTCAGTCAGTGCACTCGAGCCAGGAGCTATCAACGTCGCTCCCTCCTACGTTGGCCGTCGAGGAGGGCTCGGGAAGTAATATTTCCTCTGCCCCAACCGCGACAAACAATAGCGCAATCGCGCCGCTCGAGTCAGAAGGACTCCAATCGTATCGCATCCCACTGACGCTGAAACACAAAGAGCGATGGGAGGACAAGCATTCACCAGAATTAATTGTGAAGGCTAAATACATGCCTTATCGCGCCCTACGTCAACAGTTCTGGCGGCTAATGCTTCGGCAATATGACGCCGACGACAGTGGTCGCATCGACAAAGTCGAGCTCACGACGATGCTCGACACTCTGGGCTCAACGCTGAAGGAGTCCACCATTGACAGCTTCTTCGAACGTTTCAGTGAGGAAAATGAACTTTCCGACACAATGGACCTAACCTTTGATCAAGTGGTGATCTGTCTGGAGGACACCCTCCAGGCTCTACAGTACTCTCGCTCAGGCATTGACATTAAGAAGCTCGTGTCAACCTCCTCTACGGGCAGCCAAGAAAGCGAGGATCCGTCGAGTGGCGATGATGATTTGGAAGCCACCTCTGCCCTAGCCGCTAACACTGATCCACAGTCGACATCCGTACCTACATTGTCTAGTGAAGATCAGCTCGCTTTGAATGAAGAGGATCTTCACCCAGATGATCTAGGTGATGAACGCGGTGAGGAGCATGTGGTTGAAATCCGAGAATGTCCGCTGTGCCACCAGCCGCGACTCTCGAAACGCTCCGACGCGGATATCATTACCCACATTGCCACTTGTGCGAGTCGAGACTGGCGACAAGTCGACAATCTCGTGATGGGCGGCTTTGTGACCTCAAGTCAAGCACAGCGCAAGTGGTACACCAAAGTCATCACAAAGATTTCCTATGGAGGATATAAACTAGGAGCTAATTCCGCAAACATCCTTGTTCAAGATCGGATCACAGGACAGATCAACGAGGAGCGGATGAGTGTCTACGTTCGTCTTGGTATTCGCCTGCTGTATAAGGGGTTGAAGAGCCGAGATATGGAGAAGAAGCGAAGTATGAGCCTTTGAATCATGCGAATCAGCTGAAAAAATGAAGAAAAAGCTAACGATTTATAACAGTTCGTAAAATCCTGAAATCTCTCAGTATCAAGCAAGGCAAAAAATACGACGACCCGGATTCTGCAAGCCAGATCCGAGACTTCATCAACTTTCATCAACTTGATCTGTCAGAGGTTCTGCTTCCCTTAGATCAGTTCAAGACTTTCAACGAGTTCTTCTACCGCCAGCTCAAGCCAGAGGCTCGACCCTGCTCGGCTCCCAACGACCCCAGGGTCGTGGTCTCTCCGGCTGATTGCCGATCGGTCGTTTTTGACCGCATGAGTGATGCAGCTAGCATCTGGGTCAAAGGGCGGGAATTCTCTATCGAGCGCCTCCTCGGAAATGCCTATCCCGAGGATGCCCATCGGTACAAGAACGGAGCAGTGGGTGTTTTCCGTCTTGCACCTCAGGACTACCATCGCTTCCACATTCCCGTTGATGGTGTCATGGGAGCACCAAAGACCATTGAGGGTGAATACTACACCGTCAACCCAATGGCCATCCGCTCTGCCCTGGATGTGTATGGCGAGAATGTGCGTATTTTGGTGCCAATTGATTCGGTCGCACATGGCCGTGTGATGGTGGTCTGCGTTGGGGCCATGATGGTTGGTAGCACCGTGATAACCCGCCAGGCCGGGGAGAAGGTTTCTCGCGGTGATGAACTTGGATACTTCAAATTTGGCGGAAGTACTCTCCTTGTCCTTTTCGAGGAAGGAGCAATGAAGTTCGATGCTGACCTCGTGGACAACTCGAAAGGACCTTTGGAAACTTTGGTAAGCACCCCCCCCCTCCCCCCTTGCTGATTGAGACGCACAAGGTTTGCTAACAGAAGCTTCTTTTGTTTTCTAGATCCGCGTGGGTATGTCTGTGGGCCACAGCCCAGATATGCCCCAGTTCGAACCTGATATGCCCAAGAAGCGCGAGAACCTTACCCATGAAGAGATTCAAGCCGCTAAACGTAGAATTGAAGGTAGCCTGGCTCCACTGGCCGAAGGCGACGGGTTTCCATAAACATAGTTCGCTCCCGACGGGGTGAATTGTCATTTTTAGGGCGTTTCGTGATTTGATTTGGAGAAGGCCAGGAGCCTTTCATTAGCGATTTAGCTATCATTGTTATAACTTTTGTGATAAACCTGGACTATGAGTGCCAGCGACAGGAGAGAAGTGCGTGTTAGATAGCCATTGGACATATCGAGGCAAAGCAAAGGCCATATGTAATTTTGACATAATAACAGACCACCCATTCCCATGTTTGATACTTCGATCATATCATGATAAATCCATAGTTACTGACAATACGTCGCCAGAGTGAAGGCGGACGGAGTGTCACCCCAAAGGGGCTTAGCGCGCCATCCCCCACGCGCCACGACCAAAACAACCGCGTGCTGCGGCGACTTGCAAGAGCAAACCCCCCATCGACTCCGACAACGCCGGTCTTCGAGCCCTGCTGCACAAGGAGCGTCTTCTTAATTCCGCCAGCGACCTATGTGTCCAATCTAATTATCGCACCCCGCGATCTCCAATTGTGTCTGATTGTTGGACGCGCCTCCCCGAAGACCGACAATACGTCCTGGGAAAACCCCCCCAATCTCCGTTGACCGAATTCGCGGAACCGAGCTTCCCTAGTCAACTGCGACCGCGCGACATCCATCCACCCGCGCCAGTCGGATGAGAAGCACATTTGAGAAAATTCGCAACAGCGCGGATTGATTGATTATATTGAGATTTCTTGATTGTTGAGCGTACTGCGGATGCGCACTTGCTAAGGGAAGGGAGCTTGAGACACGACAAAACAAGCCGGCTCGGCCGCCCTCCTCAGCACCGCGACTATTTTCGAATTAGCAAAAGGGAAATCGCTGCGATAAAGCGCTGTTGCAGCTTGAGCATCTTTTTGAGCTTGTTCCGCGTTTCCACATCCATATACGCCCCTCCCCACCTTCTCTTGGTCTTGACATGACCGTCACTGTTGTGGCTACCCCTGCAGCGAAGACGAAACGTCGCGACCCCCTGAGAACCATCGACATGGCAACTTCCCAGGCCCAGGCGCGTCCTGCGCCATCCGCCACGTCTGGCAAAGCGGGTCGGAAAGGCATGAGATCGAGTGCGCGACTGAGTTTGAACAGTCAGGAGAAGGCCGAGGAGGCTTCAACGCGGGGGAAAAAAAGGAGTGAGTTATCCAGGCTGTTGTCATATTTCACCGCACTACGAGCTCAAAACTCGAGGTTCCCGCCATGCGCTTTGAATGCGCAGTCAAGAGTTGTCGCTAATGCTTAACTTCGGTCGCTACTGCAGATTCTTTCAGCGAGGACGACGATGATTTCCAGTTCACACGCATACCCAAGAAATCGAAACCTACGGTGGCCGCCATTCCCGAGCATGTCACTGAAGAGTCTGCACCGCAGCCGTCCCCGAAGAGAGGTCGACCACCGAAAAAGCGAGCTGCAGAGAAGTCTGAAGCTCCTACCGAAACGAATCATACGACGGAACCTCGGGCGAAGCGATCGACGAGAGGGAAGATGAAAGATCCGGCGCCTGAGCCTGAAGCACAACCTCAAACACAACCTCAAACCCAAACGCAAACCCACGCACAACCGCAACCACAGCCCCCACAGCAGCCTCAACCGGCGAATGATAATCATGATCGCACTGAGCCAGCACCAAAAGAAAAAGAGAGAAAGAAACGAAGAGGACGACCGAGCAAATCGAACGAGGAGGCTGAGCGGCGAAACGGACTCGTGTCTCCAGAGCCTCAGAAGACAGGGACGGCAACAATTGCACTCCCTGCGGCCGACACGCCGGTTATTCAACGGAATAAGGAAATGAGAGGACAGACAAAGGCAGGAAAAGGAAATAGGCGAAGCAGTTTAGGGATGAGAGGGCGACGAGCTAGTTCACTCATCGATTCTGGGGTTTCGAATGGTGACAAAATTTCTGGATCAAGCATTTCGACGCAGGATGCTAACAGCCTATAGCTTTACCCCACAAGGAGGTTGGCACGGCAGACTTCTACAAGCACATTTCCAGCGACGGTCTACCAGAGCCGAAGAGGATGCGTCAACTTTTGACTTGGTGTGGAACTCGCGCGTTGGGAGAGAAGCCCACTGGGTCGGGTGCTGAGGATGCCAGCGTGCATTTGGCGGGTAGGTTATATCGATCAAACTTGAGGGTTTCTGTGACTGACAAGTAGCAGCGCGTGTGATCCAGGAGGAAATTTTGAAGGAGTTTTCCATTAATTCCGAGCTATCGAACTGGTTCTCCCGGGAAGATATCAACCCTCCGTCGGTCGTGGTCAAGAAGCCGAACCCAAAGAATGTTCAGAATACAGAGAAGATCAAGGAGCTGGAGGAGCAAATTCAGAAGTAAGAATTGCTGAGCTGATTACCCTGAAACTAGCTTGCTAACAATCATTCAAGGCTACAAAAACAGAAGCATTCTTTAAGTGCGCTCCTCCGATCTTCGCCTATCCCGCCGATTAAGCAACCCCCAAGCCAACCGGATACTGCAACAAATGGGCATCCCGAGCAGCGGCTGTCACAAACGGAGCCTGATCCTAATAAATCTGGGCATCAAAAGCAGTCCCATCAACCCGACTCGATCGACCTTTCGCTCCTTGAGCCCTCTCAACTCAAACTTTATGCCTTGCTAGACCCTGATGCAGCAAAGCGACATTCAACCACGGAGTCCGAAGAAACAGCACCCCCTTCGGACGCCACTACTCTGCCTCTAATCAACCCTTCAACTATCTCTACGCGTTTGTCCCGTATAACCTCTGGTCTTGCACCAACCTTGGATTCGTTCGCGGCTGGCGTCCATGATATCGAGCTATATCGGGCTATGTCCGACAATGTATCGTCGCGGATCCTGCGCATCTGCGCCGAGCGATTAGATGAGCGCGAAGCCAGAAAATCCCTAGGAAGACTGGCTTTGGAAGAGCAAGGAGAGCAAAAAGACCTCAGTCTCCGGCCACGCGTTCGAGAGGACATCGGTGTGATCCTCGGGGCCCTCAGTCGAGTCGAACGACGGGGATAAGATACACCATGAGCCTATATGTTGAACAAGGGAAACATGTAAATACCTCGTTCACAAATCATGTACTTTTTTTGTGTGTTTGAATTTCGATATTCTCGGGTCCGACCTTTGTTGTTGGCCCGGGAATGCTTTGGGTTTGTTTGTTCGTTACTATTCAGGCAGCATGCAAGCAATGGAGTTGGGGTGTTTCTCCTGACTGGGACTTGGATCAGTTTATTTGTTGCGGATGCAAAATGGCTACCACCACCGGTATTATGGACTGCGATGCAATAGCTAGGGATTGATTCCGATTCCAATTTCAATATTAAAGCGGCAGATAAAGCAGCTAGACAGACAGACATTCTTTGTAAGAAATTTTCTGTCTCGCAATCAATAAGCCCGACTACTTTTCTACCACATATGAGCACTACTCCCCTCTCCTCGCCGGATTGATCTGTCCTGCTCCTTGAGAGGATTTATTTTAGCTCCTACAGTAATTAGAATACTCAGAAGATAATGTAGTATAATCATAACGTAACTCAAACTAGGTGTCCCTTCCCACGTCACAAATAGGTGGATCTGCTTCTGAGAATATAGTATACCCAGCCTATCATGATCAGTGGCGACATAAGACTTTAATCGCCATCTGCCATGCGTGACCCTTCTACTCCGAACGGACAGATAGGCGCATGAGAACATGAAAAGTAGGTAACCAGGATATGCGAGAATGACCACTCGATACCTAACCTAAGGTAGACATTGTCGTTTCTATCTATGTATCTACTTGTTTGGTTGACATGCACGCTTATCGATCCACAGGGAACGAAACCGAAGTCCCGCGTGTTTTCGGGGCTGATAAGACCAGGTAAATTTTGCCCTTATCCTATCCAATCCAATCCGATAACGCAATGTGATGCAATGCAGCGGAGCCGACATGATGTGCTGTTTAAATAATGATCGGAAGCATATACAATGGAGGATATAGTAAGGTAGTAAAGTTACTTATCAGCGTCAGCATTAATCTAGCTCACTTGGGTAGGAAGATTTTAAATCTAATATTGCATCAACGGCGATGATCATGACTTCATGATATCTACGATGCCATCGGGGTTGGTTCCTAGATGTTAGCTGGTCGATGGGGAGAAAACCTGCTTTTCGCAGATTGCACCACCCAGTCTAGTCTGTTCACCTGCACCACGTGGGAATAAAGTGGCCGGTTCGGTGAAGGAAAGAAGACAAGAATGATAATTTCTGGCTGGCTAAGGTAAGGCGAGCTAGCGACGGGAGTATGCAAGATAGTAGTAGGTAGTAGGTCAGTGCTTGTGCAGGATGACTTCAAGTGTATCACCTGTGTTAATTCAATTGGATACCAGCATGCAGCATATACCCCCCTAGGAGGTAACTATAGTACGGAGTAGTAAGTACTCCGTCGGTATCTCGGACTTGGGTACCTAACTATGGAGCACGATAGACTCGCATGAATGGTTCAATGCACGGATCTCTAGTCTGCAGTTTTGCTAGCTACAGCTCTTTATTTTATTTTATTTTATTTTATCTTTTTTAATTTTAATTTTTCGCAGTCTTATTTGCCCGTGGAGACGTTATTTTCAAATTATTCTCCGTAGGTGGTGGTTGGTGAGTGGGATCGGGGGATTTCTTTCTTTCAACCGTTGAATTCTACCGAGTTAGAGTCTAGAGAAAGGAGTAAAATAAGTAAAGCCCAAAAGAAATAGTGGCCTAGATTAGTCGGTGAAATCCTTTGAGATAGCCGATTGATTGATTGATTACCTTCCATGATTTCCAATACCTGATAGCTACTAGGGGAACAAAACTCAGGACCAGCTACGAAGCAGCGCTATTAGCATGTAGAAGGGGAACACAGACCATCAAAGCACCAAGAAGGAGGGTTGGACAGAGCGACCGGATTGAGAATGGGTGAGCCACGCCCAATCGCTCATGTCGAAGAACCTGAAAGGCCATGTGATTGTTGAGATACGAAGCATGTGGTGTCCGTACTTACCTACTAGCTGCAAGGACCACTTGATATTAGACTAGGGAGCGCTAAGAACTAGCGAGCTTTACTCCTGATTCTCATTATCAATTTTAATCCACGTAGCGGGCTGTCTGTTCAGAAACCTGTATGAAAAAGAGGGGGGAGGGGCAAAACCCAGAGCGTCAGAAAAAAAAAAAAAAAAACTAGATATCTTTTGCCAGCCACATGACCGACAATATAACTGGGGCAGAACAGATCTAGAAGCTTGGGAGCCAGGGGCTGCGGTTATCTAGTTCCGAAGGATTTGTCGTTGATTGTGCGGTTGGAGTGGATCGCCTTCTAGGAGGAACGGGGTTCCGCGCTCGGTTGACCTGTGGTTTCAACGAGCAATTGGCCTTATGGCTTATGTGCCTAGTCTACTAATCTAAGAGGTAGAACTAAAACCTACTTGCAGATGCCGAGGCGCCGATAAGCCAACTAACTTGATAGGCTGGCGCCAATTGAGTCATTGAGCCAGCATCTCTGATTCTGACGGATTGTTCGCGAATGAAGAGGAAATGGAATGTTTGAGGGGTTGAGACGATGTTGCCGTCATCAGAACTTACCTAAAAGGTTTTCTCGATCCGAGAATAGTTTCATTGCCTGACAATCTGTTGCTTGCCAAAGTTGCAAGCGGACAAGAGATGCAGCCTCAGGCCAGACCGGCGAGGCAAATAAGCTCGGACCCACTTATTCCCGAAATAGCAGAAGCTCGGATCGGCCGATGACTAAGGCGTCTTTCCATGGCTCCGGACTATGAGCCTGACAATTCTGATAGTGTGGCTAGGTCTATACGGTGTACTCATAGTCGCATCTTCACTCGTCAAACGACATGGGACACAAGATACTCCGTTATCCCCCACACCCCACGGGCAAAACATGACAGAATCTCTCATCCGCTTCTTGACCATCACACCCGAAGGGCACATACATCCGCGTCCCGGCTCGGCATGCCATTCTCCCCGGTAGGACGGGAGGTTCGTTGCAGGCGCCTCTGCCTCAGCTCTCGGATCGATAATTAGGTATTGGTCCCTGCACCCTTGCGTGTCGTACCAGCATCCTCTCGAAGTCACGCAGGGAAATGAATCGAATTCCGTTGGGTGACACCGCCCCCGGCTAGCTAAATGGGTTATGATGGATGGGGATGATGAAATGATGACTCAGGGCTGGGTTGACCGGGTGTGTGATTATTGACCCTTTTTCTCACCGGATATGAGAAGGGGTTCCAGGTCGGACTGGCTCACATCGTACAGAGCCCCCCCGGGTTTCATTTTGGACCTCCCCTTCCCCATTGCATCCAGACCAAGCCCCAGCGGATGAGCTGGGAGGCCGTCGACCAAGACGGGGCGAGAAAGACGGCTGTGTGACACCCCGCTTATGATATCTGAGAAATCTGGGAGCAAGTGAGCACTGACATCATGGAGAGAAAGGTGTCAGACATACGGAGTACAGGCGATGAGGTGGAAATTGCACATGTTGGAGACGAAATGGCCTTTCGCACTGACGGAGCCAGGAGGAACATGGAGTAGGTGGAAGATCAAGCTCAGAAGACAGTTGATGTTCTGTCGGTTTCTAAGAATATTTCCCGGTGGATCGGTCGCACTATACGTGTCAATCATGAAAATCATGTACACATACAATAGTCTTTTTAGTCATTTTTCGGTAGCCGGACAATACGGAATGAGTATGGATCAGTGACCCTAGGCTGTGTAAAAGTGGATCTGACATGACCGACAGCAATGCTAAACAAATGTAAGGAGTTGTTGCCCGAAACCTCCAGAAGCATTCCAAGCTCCCATACCTATCAGTTATGTCTTGATAATTCCGAGCTCTGAAACAAGGTCCAGCCACAAGGCAGACCATTTCGGTACGGACTACCTGCGGTCCTACGGACTTGTCGATAGCATGAAACGGGTTGCCTAGACAATTGATGGAATTAATTTACTAGGCTAGTGTACAGTTGGGCAGCCATCAGAGCTCATATCAAAAAATTAGCATGCAGCCCAATTAAAGGGGGGACATGCAGTTCTCGAAAAAAAGAGCGAAGAGAAAAACAAAAAGGACAGACCTTCGGGTGCCCAGTGCGTCTTGCATAGAGTCCACCGGATCAACGGTCAATCCCTCTCAGTTTAGGCTATAGTCAGTCATTCGGCGCTGATCATCAGGGACCGTCGCGCTGCACCCAGGGGCGACGAGCCAAAGGGAGGGATTCGTAATCTGTAGGCGTGACCTGCAACAGTCCAATGCAACACCACTCTTCACCTCTCTTTCTTCGCTTGCTGCCCCTCCTCCCTTTTTCCCGCTCTCCACTTCCCTTTGTTTCTTTATCTGTCATTGTTCTATCTATGTATTCTTCTGCCTAGCTAAGCCTTTCACCCTTCTGGCCTTACTCGTCTCATGTGGCGATCCCGATGAATTCCAGAGCCCGCCAGAAGCTTCGTAAGACATTTCGCTGACCTGCTAGCTATTAGCTATCTCTCTAGCCAACGCTCGAACATACCCACCCACCCTTCGCCTCCCCTTTTCCCTGTCGATGACGAGGATGGCGTGCTGTGAACAAGGAATTACTTCGATCTAGTCTAAGCTTTCGTCATGCATGGACACTCCGTCTATCGCTCATGGGGGTGAGAGAGACCGATGACCCGTAACCACCCTATCGGCTTTGACATTCACTGCCATCGGGTTGCCGAGAAACCTGACGTGCTGACGATAGCCTCTCCTATTCGCGCAATCCTATCCCTACTCGCGGGAAAAAAACCTACGGGATCCGCGTCCAGACCGACCGATCGTTCGTGGGTCCTCTTGTTGTCTCTCTCTCGGCTCTCCCTTCGCTTGTGCCTGGGTCCTCCCTCCGGCCCACGGTCCGGCTCGGGCGCTAAGAGAAGAATCGCTATCATGAAATCCATAATAAACTTGTTCTTTCGGCGCTTGGTGGATCCACTACAGTTTTTGTCTCCGAGATAAAATAAAAAGAAAGAAAATGAAAATT